ACAGCGCCTGGGCTCGGGCCCCCGACGCAGGAGGCTCTTCTCCAGGGGAGATTTGCCATGGGTTTAATGACCAAAGCAGCGGCGGTGCTCAAAACAGGGGTTATTTCTTGCTTTTCCTCTCTTTTATTTTAAACACCTGGCCGGGGCAGAGGTCAGCTGGCCTTTTTGGCTGTGTTTCTCATGCAGGAGTGAGTGCAGCTTCCCCTTTCCAGCCCGGCCCTGTCTGTCTGCGCTGGTGAAGCTATGAGTCCTGGTCCATGGGGGGTGAGTGCAGCTTCCCCTTTCCAGCCCGGCCCCGTCTGTCTGCGCTGGTGAAGCTGTGAGTCCTGGTCCATGGGGGTTTTTGTCCCTTGTTGGAGCAGTGTGAGATGCTCAGGGATGGATGGAGAGGCCAGGCCATATCTGGGAAGAAAGGACAGGCATTTGGGATGAGTGTATCTGCACGGAAGGGATGCAGGCCACCTCTTCCTCCTGCTTCCCCTTTCCAGCCCGGCCCCGTCTGTCTGCGCTGGTGAAGCTGTGAGTCCTGGTCCATGGGGGTTTTTGTCCCTTGTTGGAGCAGTGTGAGATGCTCAGGGATGGATGGAGAGGCCAGGCCATATCTGGGAAGAAAGGACAGGCATTTGGGATGAGTGTATCTGCACGGAAGGGATGCAGGCCACCTCTTCCTCCTCCTCCTCCTCCTCCGGCCTCCCTCCCTGTGCTGGGATGCCTGTGCTGGGGTGACCAAAGGGACACAAATCCCTTCCCCGGCCAAGCACAGAGCTGAACCCGCATGTCCTCCTGCCTCCGGAGTGTTCGGGGCTGGGGGCTGCTTTGTTCAAGGGGAGTTTCAAGCACCTTCCGCACATCCCTTCTGCGGCCACACTCATGGAGCACGTTCCCAGATGTTTCCAGATGTTTGCTGGAGGTGGAAACGTGAGCACGGAGCAGGCACGCTCTGCCCCTGCCCCACGTGCAGCCGGGGGGGGGGAGGAAGCGCATCACGCAGCATCTCAGCACCAGGAGAGCGGGATCCGTGCATTACAAAGCGACATACTTTTCCCCTTCGCTCACTTCCCCCTCCAGAGCTTTGCTGAGAGCCAAGTGTTTCTCCCAGGCCTATGGATGGTGACGCTCTCCCAGCTCGCTGGCTCTCGCAGAGGCTGCCGTGTGTTCCCCGGGCTGGGATGGACAGGAGCCTGTCCCCGGCTCGCCGCAAGGTTCGGGGGAAGCTGAGTGTAATTTTCCAGGCTAGTGGCCACCAAAGCCAGTGGCAACACCCTGCGGTGGGGGAGGCATGCAGAGCCCCGGGAGAGCCGTGGCACCCCGAAGGGCAGCGCAGCACCCTCCCACTATGGTCCCAAGGGAATGGGTCCACCCCAAACCACCAGCCATCATTTTGGGGGGACCTCTGGGCTCCCCTTGTCCCTCTTCAGTGGCCCCTTCCCACAACACTGACGGCTGATGATGGAGAGCACGACTGGCTTGCGAGGCTTTGCTGCCAAACGCCTGAGATTTGATGTTTTGCATAGAACACACGCTGCTCTGACCAAGCGGCCGCAGGGGCAGCTCAGGTTTCCCGCTGCTTTTTTTTTTCCCCCCCCTTCTGAAATTAAATTTTTTATCTCTCCAAAGGGAGTTTTAAGATCTGGCTGTCAGAAAGAACCGCTGTGCTGTAAATCATCTGTGTTTGTCCAGCACCGAGCGCAGCGGAGGCTCGGCTTGGGACGGGGTGGCTGATGCTGGGATCACATAAAGAATAAGCATCTCCCTCTGGCCAAATAAACATTTTAAACTGCTATTCCTGAGGAGCCCCGGCTGTGGTGTGGGGAAGGCGAGCCTGGTTTGAGAACAGGCCTTTGCTCGGCTCTGTTTGAGAAGCCTCCTGCGCTGCTGCAAAATTCCCTTTCTTGAAACTCCTGGGGCTGCGACCACCAGCTCTTGGTGTGCTGCAACGTCCCCCGGGGCTGTCCCCTCCGTGACGTCCCCCGGGGCTGTCCCCTCGATGTTGCCCCTTGGCTGGGGGACATGGAGACACTGCGGTAGCCTGAGCTGCGAAGAGCCGGGGAGGCTGCGCTGTTGGACATCAACGCGCTGAGGTTCAGGGAGGGACCCTCTGCCAGGGGAAGGGGATGCTTATTTTAACCGTACCCGATACGAGCCGTGCACGAGCACTGTGATGGTGCGTGAGGGGTCTGGCTGGGATGGATGGGGAGGACGAGGGATGCGGGGGCTCGCTGTGTCTAACGTTTCCCAGCTAGAGATGATGGAGCCACTGGTTATAATGGGGGCTTTTTTGCTCATGTCCTCCCCCTTAAACCCTCTGCTGCCCCTTGTCCGTGTTTCCTCCCTTGGGGCATCTGCGTGGCTGCCATCGACTCCCTGCCGGGATGGGCAGAGTGACCGGGGCATGGCTGGGTGCCGAAACCTCCCCGTGCTGATGGCTGGTGGGATGCAGCCTCCAGGCTCGCTGGGGACCACATTCCTCCGTGTTTACCCACTCGACGGCCGTCCCTCATGTTGCCCTTGGTTGAGACAGGCCGTTCTCGCCGCGCTGGCTCCATCTCCCAGTGCTTTCATGCTCAGACATTTCCTCTCCTACCTCCGCCAGACCAGAGCGGTATTTCTGTTACAAACCTCTGCAGAACAAACGGGCCGTGGCCGGGAAAGGGGATAAACCGAAGGGACGTGGCACCGGGGGATCAGGGATGGCCAGGATGCTGCTCACCCGCAGCAGGGGCACTGAAACAGGGTTCCCCCCAAGCCAACAAGAGCTGTAGGAGCAGGTTTGCTCCATCATCCCCTTCGCCTGCAAGAGTGGGGCCACATTTTGCTCCAGACATAGAATAAACCAAGCACGCAGTGCCCAGAGCCACGTTCAAGGCTGCAGCCTGTTGCGTCTTAAAAATTAAAAAGGACGTCTTTGAAGGTGGATTCAAAACTTGGACACTGAAAGGAATTCCTGCAGGAAGAAAATTCAACAAACAAAGTCCCTTGGCTGAGAGCAAAATTTATACTCACCAGATTTGCTGAAGGTTTTCGTGCTTCTGAGCAATGGGAGCTGTGTTAGCAGCTTCACAGGTCGGACAGCACGGTGGTTAAGGTCTAAGATGTGAGACCTTTCTGTGCCTGGCATCGCAGGGTGGCTTTTGTGCAAGCAATTACCCCATTCGGTGCCTCAGTTTCCCTCTTCCAGTGCCCAGCTGAGTATTGTTAGGTAGCAGGGAGGAAAAAAAAACCAAAAAACATGTCTGCATGGATCTGGGGACTTTTGACTAGTTTTTAAAGCAATTGGCATGAATCTCCAAATAGCATACTCCTTCCCTATTGATTCTGATCCTTCTCCAGCTGGCAAACACGTGTCTCCATCCCGACCCTTCGTTTAAACGACGTGAAATACCGATGTGGTTTCTCTCCATTCCTTTTCCTGGCTGGCACTCGAGCTACCTGCTGGTTTTTAGGCATCCGAGCGCCCTAGGTTGCTGCAGGGCGAGGGCTGTGCCCTCCGGCCATCCCGCTCCCGGCACTCAGCACTCACCAGCACTACTCTGGTTTTGGGGTGAGGGGAAGGGCACTGTGTTGGGAACAAATATATTTAAGGGTCGCAGGGAGCCCAGGCAAAATTGGGGAGTCCAGTGGGTGGGAACTTTGGGGGAGGCTCTGATTTCAGCTGTTTGAACCCACTGTTGGTAGCCACCGTCAGCCGAGTGTGGGAGTGCAGGATCGGACCCTCCTGGATGGCTGCCAGCCTCCGGTGGGGTTTGGACTGGGATTTCAATGAGCCGAGCAGCTCAGGTTTCCTGGCCCCCGCTGCAGATCCGCTTGGCTGGAGAGAGGACGGCTGGTGGGGAGGGAGAGGACGCCCTGCCCCCTGAATCCCGCATCCCGGGGATGCCTGGGACGGGGACGCCTATGGGAGGGAGGTCCCCGTGCCCCCCAGGACTCCTCGCTCGTACCCACACTGCGTCTCAGAGCTGTGACTACGCAACAGGTCCCAGGCTGCTTCCGAGCTCCTTGGAGCAGAAACGTGCCCCCTGAGCATCCATGAACGCGCTGAGCACCCGGGAGCCTCGGGGGGTCCCTCAGCCGCGTCCCCTCGGTGCACAGTGGCTTTCCAGTCCATGACCTGGCTGAGACTCCATGCAAAACCCAGTGGCCCTGTGCCCGTGGCCCGCTCGTCTGCATGGCACCACCACGGCTCCCCTCCTTTCTCTTTATTAAGTGCCATCAGGATTTAAATTAAAGCTTATCACTAGCTGGGAGGGAATGAACCCTGCGTCATGTTTTACTCTGCCATCTGCCAGGCAGGAGCAGGACCCCAGCATGGGGCTGGCTCCCTTCCGCAGGGATGGGGGGCAGCTGGAAGTCACTCTGTGCAGGTGGGGGACCCGGGTGGGCCAGCCCCGGGGCCAGGCTGGCTGGTGACACACGTCAAACCCCCGTGCTCCGCACCCCCGCTGCGATTCAGCCGTGTCGCTGCAAAGCGCCGTCCCGAACATGCGCTCCTGGAACAGGGGCCGTGGCAAGGGAAGGGCTTATTTAAATTATTAATTAGCTTTGTTTTTAAACACGGGCTCCGAGCAGCCTCCGCAGCAGAAGGAATTGTTATTAAACGCCAGCCCTCCGGCAGGCAGGCCATGTGTGCGCAGCGGAGCCCACAGCGCTTGGCTGCCAGATAAAGACGTTATTGTTGTCATCGTGCCTCCGTCCCAGCCCTCCGTGGCAAGGGAAGGGCTTATTTAAATTATTAATTAGCTTTGTTTTTAAACACGGGCTCCGAGCAGCCTCCGCAGCAGAAGGAATTGTTATTAAACGCCAGCCCTCCGGCAGGCAGGCCATGTGTGCGCAGCGGAGCCCACAGCGCTTGGCTGCCAGATAAAGACGTTATTGTTGTCATCGTGCCTCCGTCCCAGCCCTCGGCCTCCACAGAGAGAAACTTGTCTTGGGGATTAATAAGAGGCAGGAGGAGGAGAGGTGCACACAGGTAAGCTGTGGGCAGGTGCTTTCCCCCAGGCTCTTCTTGCCTTGCCTGACCCTCCAACCCAGGACGCTGCACTGGTCCACGATGCTCCTGCCCTCTCCAGCCTCCCTGAGGTGCAAACCAGCATCTGCTCTTCCTTTTTTGTTCTCTCCTCTTGGTTTTTTTTCTGTTCTTCAGCGGCTGGAGTCTTTGTTC